TGGATTGCTTTCAAATATTGGCTATTGTAAATAACGCGTCAATGACCATAGGGGTGCATATATTCTTTTGAATCATTGTTTTGGGTTTGTTTGGATATATTCTCAGACATAGAATTGCTGAGTCAGAAGGCAGTTCCATTTTTAATTTTTTGAGGAACCTCGATACTGTTTTCCACAAAGGCTGCATCAATCTGCATTTCTACCCATCCCATTTCTCCACATCCTTGCCAACACTTGTTTGTTAATTTATTGATGATAACCATTCTGGGGTGATATCTCATTGTGGTTTTATTTTGCATTTCTCTGATGATTAGTGAGTTGAGCATATTTTCATATGTATATTAGCCACCTGTATGTTTTCTTTAGAGAAATGTTTATTCAGGTCTTTTGCTCATTTTAAAAGTGGATTGTTTTTTGTTTGCTTTTTTTTGGTGTTGAGTTGTACAAGCTCTTTATAAATTTGGATATTAACCCATTATCAGGGGTATCATTGGTGAATATGTTATCTCATTCAATGGTCTATCTTTCCATTTTGTTGATGGTTTCCTTTGCTGTGCAAAAACTTTTTAGTTTGATGTAGTCCCTTCAGTCCCAAGTATTTCAAAGTATTTCTTTGTTTCCTTTCCCAGAGAAGATATATCAGAAAAAAAATACTGCTATGAGAAATGTCTGAGATTTTACTACCTGTTTTCTTATAGATTTTTATAGTTTTGAGTCTTAAATCTATTTTGAGTTTGTTTTTGTATATGGGTAAGAGGTGGTCTAGTTTCTCTTTTTTTTTTTTGCCATATCTGTCCAATTTTCCCAATACTATTTACTGCCTAGACTGTCTTTACTCTATTGTATGTTCTTGCCTCCTTTGTCAAATATTGACCATTAAAAATTGATATTTTCTTGCTTCTCTATTCTTTTCTATTAATGTATATGTCTGTTTTTATGCTGTTTGGTTACTATGGCCTTGTAATATAATTTGATATCAGGTAGCATGATTCCTCCAATTATGTTCTCTTTCTCAAGATTGCTGTAGTTATTGGGGGTCCATATAAATTTTTGAAATGTTTGTTCTAATTCTGTGAAATATGCCATAATAGGAATTGAGTTGGACCTGTAGATTTCTTTGGATATGCACATTTTAATGATGTTAATTCTTCCTATCTATGGACATAGGATATGCTTCCACTTATTTTGTATCTTCTTCAATTTCTTTCTTCATTGTCTTATAGTTTTCCAAGTATAGGCTTTTATATCCTTGGTTAAATGTATTCTAGGTGGTTTTTTTTATGCAATTGTAAATGGGATTTTTGTTTTCCTAGTTTTCCTTTCTAATACTTCATTATTGTGTATAAAAATGCAACTGATTTCTGAATAGTTATTTTGTATCCTGCTACTTTATTGAATTCATTGATCAGTTCTGGTATTTTTTTTCATAGAATCTTTAGGGTTCTCTATATACAATATGGTAGTATTATCTTCCATAAGGTAGGTTCTCAGTGAGTCACTAGGTTGGGGTGAGTCATCTGTATTAGATTGATACAGGTTCAAACTCAATGCCAGTGCTGGGTCTGAGGCCACTTAGCAAAAGTCCCAAGGTATACCAAGTCTAGCTGCCTCCTGGTCGAACTCCTGGTCAAACTCCAGATGGAGGGACACTTTGCATATTAGCCTTTTATTATATAAGATGCTCAGTCACTTAATCATTGGAGAGATGCAAATCATATGATCTCACTCATATGTGGAATATAATGAAAAACATAAATTGATGAACAAAAACAGATCCTGAGGCATAGAAGCATGGAACAGACTGTCAAACCTCATAGGAGAGGCATGCTGGGATCCAGGAGCTGATGAGATCAAGGTTTCCCAAGGAAAGCGCACTACAAACCACCCCAATTTCTTTGTTCTATATTTTGTTCTATATTTGGTTCTCACTAAGAAGAGAAAAAAAATAGTTTATGCCAAGTAGAGATGAATTTTTAGAAAGCATCTCCCAGGCCTTGATGAAACCTATACTGAGCTCTCTTCCCTGTTGCCAAAGGTATAGATGAGGCACAAGCCTGGCCTGTGGGATCGGGCCGAAACCGGCTCTCTGACATCCCCCGAGGGGTCCTGGATTGCAAGAGGGCATAGGCCAGGCTGAGGGACCCCACCGGTGCACAATTGGGGCTGGGGAGAGATGCGGGAGGTTGGCCAGCCAGGGAGGGACCACAGGAGGGCTCCAGGGCATGTCCGGCCCAGCTCGCTCAGTCCCAATTGGCCGGACCCCAGCAGCAAGCTAACCTACTGGTCGGAGCGTCTGCCCCCTGGTGGTCAGTGCACGTCATAGTGAGCGGTTGAGTGGCCTTAGCATATCATTAGCATATAATGCTTTGGTTGATTGAATGGATGACCATCGATGACTGGACACTTAGCATATTAGGCTTTTATTATATAGGATAAGTTTTAGTAAAAAAGAATGAGGAACTTCCTGACTTTGGGACACAGAAGTTTCTTGCTCCTGAGAGATTTATGTCTTCCTTTCTTCCTGCCCAGGAGTGGTTCTGTTATAGGCACTTAGGCAGACATGAGCAGAGAAAGCAAGGGAGATGGGCTAGGTACAGAAACTCACCAGGGCAGAAAGCCCCAGATGTCTAGAAGGGGCAAAACTGGGAGAACAAGGACCTCACCCCCAGGGTAACCTGTCCTCCCCTAGCATATGACTGGTCATGTGGCTTAGACTTACTGACTTTTTCTTCCCTAAAGATAACATCTAGGCCTCAGTTGTACTTCAGCTCCAGGAGCAGAAAAGCAGCAAAACCAGACAAGTGACACTATGGCTGCCTCAGGATGAGCTGCTTTGACTAATGACCCTCTGCCCTGGCACTGATCAATCAGTGGAGACCAGGACCCTGAAAGAGCACACCTAGAAATCTGATAAATATTCTATTAAGACCCTCCCCTGAGAACTCCCCTAGGATTTCCACCTTCGAGAGAGAGAGATACTCAGAATGAAAGACCTAGTACACACTCTCCCCCAGGGGAGCACGCCCATGCCATTCCCTTCCTCCTTCTTCCCTATAAGGGTCCCCATGAGACTTGCAACCAGGGGAGCAGTGGGCAGTGGCAGCTCATTCCAGGCTAACCCCCTGAACCTGTCTCCAAGGCCCTCTTTTCTCTGACTTCCCAGTGAGCCAAAGCAGCCCAGCCTAGGCTCTCCTGTAGCTTTTTCTATGCCCCTCCTTCCTTCTCTGTCATAAGTATATTTCTGTTGCAGCCAATAAATTCTTACTTTCCTACACTTTATCCCTTGATTTAAATTTTTCCTTCAGGAAGACAAGGACCAAGGTCTAGTCACCTTGCCAGTAACGGTAGTGTCTCCCATAATTTCCAAGCCAGAAATCTGAGAGTCTTCCTCATCCCTTTTTTCTATTTCAGCATTCTCATTCAGCAAGCACCCCCTTTTTCATTTATATCTTCTAAATAAGTCATGAATCTGCCCCTGTCTTTGTTCACTGTCCTGGAGCACTCTGGCAGTGGTCTTCTGACCCACCTTCCTCCTCCATGGCCATCTTCCTCACATCCCAGAGTCGTCTTTCTAAAGTGTAATTATGGTCATGCTGCTTCCTTGGGGCTCCCCATTACTTAGAGGATAAAGGCCAAGCCCTCAGCATGGTGTGTGATGCAGCATAACCTGCATCACGGTAGCCCTGCTCCCACAGCATAGGGACAACTCGTCCTCTCTGTAATGCCTTCTAGCACCCTAAAATTCTCCAGTGCGGGAGTCTCCCTTCCTCAGGATGGTTCCATTGCTACACTGTTCCCTCACTGGGCTGCCAGTCCTTCTTAATAGCACGGGCACACCACAGTCACTGCATTTGCTCAGATTTGTGAGAGGCCTAGTGGGTAGTGATTAGAGCCAAGGTACCTGAATTAGAATCCCAGCTCTGCTACCCACACTCACTCTTTGTGTGACCTTGGGCAAATTGCCTATAGCTCTCATCTATGGAGTCAGAATAATTAGAACAGAACCTCACTCACAAAATGCTGGGCTGTGTGTTGAGGTAACCAATAAATACTTGTTGAATGGCAGAAATGGGGATGCAGGTGGCATGGAAAAACAAACCAAAACCAAAACAAACAAAAACACAAGAGATAGAAAGGGTGGAAGCAGGCAAGAGCCTGGATGACTTTTAGCATGCCACACTTACTGCTACCAAAGCAGCTGTTGGTTTCCTACTTTAATAGAAAATAGAATACTTTCCTATTGTATTATTCTATTGTTTCCTATGCTATCCAGTTTCCACTGTTGGCATGTGGGTTCTGAGAACTTGGTAATGCTCGCTAACTTTTGCACTCATTTTATGCATTCATTCATTCGGTCCCTGCATTCACTCATACGAGATCTACCAAGTGTGACTGTAGGGTAGGCAGTGTTCTGGGAGCTGGAGGTCCCTATTTGGTTGGTTGAAAAGAAGAAAGGCAAGATGCTTCAAAACTCTTTTGACTTCATAATTTTGCTTGTGGATAAACCTGCAGCACCAGGAAGGCTTTACTTAGAAAATAGGAGATCAATTTGCTTCCTGTAACCCAACCTCAGTTCCCAAGAAGACCTTAATCAGTCTGCTTATGGGTTGAGAGGATTAGTATTTTATCTATTTAATGCTTTAAAAAATTGCATAAATTGGGCTGATCTTTTTAAAATTAGGCAAGTAGTAGAACAGAGCAGAACAGAACAGAATGAGCCCTAGCCTGTTCTGAGCCTGCTTTCAGTCTGGGGATCCTTGGAGGTATTGTTTTCCGACTTTGACTTTTGGAGTTCCAGGGAGATAAGGCTTCAACTGAGATAACCAGAATCAGATCAGGGATGTGAGGAGTCCCAGACTCTGCCAGTCATCAAGGAGCCTGAAGAAAGTGAAGCTTAGTGGCGGAGTTGTAACGTCAGATCAACAGAGGAAAGAGTCCCAGGTGCTGCCAAGCATTAAGGTCTGTGGGTCCCAATTGGCCAGCTGTCCCCAACACAAGTCATGCATCACAGTCGGAATAGTGAGAGCTGCAACCTTAAGGAAGACCTTCAGGCCCCAAGAGAGGCACAGGGCCTGGTAGATTTACAGGTTCCCATAGTTGAAGAGGAAGAAGCCACCAGTACCAACACCTCATTCTCCTCTCTCTCTCCTTTGACCCCTGGCACTCCAGAGGATTTGCCTGCCCCTGGGGAATTTAGTCTTTTTCTGAGTTTACAGATAACCTACTACTCCTCAACTGCCAACACAGTCACTCTATCAAGCCACCAAGAAGAGGATCCAAGTACCTTGCAGACTCCACCAAATCCTGAGTCCTTGTTCACTGAAGTGCTAAAAAAAGAGATTAAATGCTTAGTGTGGTACCTGATTATCAAGTATGCCACAAAGGAGCCCATCACAAAGGCAGAAATGCTAGAGAGTGTCATCAGAGAGCACAAGGATCACTTCCCTGTGATCTTCAAGAGAGCCTGTTTTTGCTTGGAGATTCTCTTTGGCATTAAGGTGAAGGAAGTGGACCCCACCAGCCATTCCTACATGCTCATTAAATTATTAGACCTCACTGACGATGGGATGCTGAGTGATGTCCAGGGCACGCCCAAGGCTGGCCTCCTGGTATTCATCTTGGGCATAATCTTCATGCACAGACACCGTGCCTCAGAAGAGAGAATCTGGGAAGTGCTGAATATGATTGGGTTGCATGCTGGGAAGAATAATTTCATCTATGGGGAGCCCAGGAAGCTCATCACTGAAGATCTAGTGCAGGAAAAGTACTTGGAATACCAGCAGGTACCCAATAGTGATCCTCCAGGCTATGAGTTCCTGTGGGGTCCAAGAGCCCATGCTGAAACCACCAAGATGAAAGTCCTGAAATTTTTCACTGCAGCCACTGGGAATGACCCCACTGCTCTCCCACACTTGTATGAGGATGCATTGAGAGATGAGAGAGAGAAAGCCCAGGCTGAAGTTTCCTCAGATGATACTATTGCCACAGACGATGGAAGTTCAAGTGTCCTGTCCAGCAGCTTCTCCTGCCCTGAGTGAAGTCTGAAGCCTACCATTCTTCACTCTCCATTTGAACACAGCAGCCAAAGTTCTAAGTAGTGGAGGTCGGGGTGGATATGGAGGGAACACCTTAGTGTTCCTGTTCAATATAAGTGATTTGGAGATTTTATCTTTTTTTGTTTAAATTGTTTTTCCTTGTAATAAAAAGTTTAACTAGCAAAAAAAAAATAAAATAAAAAATAAAAAAATTAAGCTAGTAGTTTATACTCCTTTACATTACAATAGAGTAGTTTATGTGCTCTAAACTTGAATATAGGTAACAGTTTAAATTCAATCATGACAACATACTTTCTATATTTTAGTTTGTTGGTAATAAATATTTAACTTAAACGTTATTTTTGTTTAAAGTATTTTTATTTTAAAAGGGCATATAGAGGAAAAATTTTACTTCTCTAAAGAGAGCAACTGTTAGTATAAAACAATACTCTCACCAATGAACAAGACTCAAAAATGTATCAGGGACTTACTTACACCTAGTATTTAAAATTCTATGCCTAAAGTATCAAGATTATTAGCAAGAATAATCATATAGCCCTGGCTGGGTGGCTCAGCTGGTTTTAGTATTGTCCCATGTACCAAAAGGTTGCAGGTTTGATCCCTGGTTGGTATGCGTATGGGAGACAACTGATTCATGTTTCTCACATCAATGTTTCTCTCTCTCCCCCCTCTTCTCTCTCTAAAGTCAATAATCATATCCTCAGGTAAGGATAAAATAATAATAATAATAATAAATAATAATAATAACCAGGTAATTTATGAGATTCTTTTAAAAAATTATCTTATATATCCACCATCCCCTCCATATGAATCTCCATGATACACACTTTCCCCATAGCCACCACTTCCCTCATAATCCCTCCTTCTGCTATACCCCCCATCTCCCCATCCTTGGAAATCCGTTGTTTGCCATCATGCTCCTCCACCTCTCCATAACTTCCAAGTCACTCTTCTTCTCCTTCCATCCACGCCTCCACCACCACAACCAAGCAACCCCCACTATCCCCACCGTGTTTCCTGCCACTTGGGCATTTCCTCAGATGGTGCTTCAGTGTCACTCAGTCTTCCTCCCTGTCAGGCGTGCTTCCCACTTACTCTTGTTAACAGCGCAGGAAATCTGGCTGGTGCCACTGCTTGTCCTAGTGCTCATCACAAGGGGCGCAGAGGTAGGCCAGTGCAACAGTTGTTTGTGTTGGCAAAGCTTAGGCTGATAAATTCTCTCCATATCATTTGCCTTCACCTTTTCTCTAGTCCTGTGGTCGGCAAACTGCGGCTCGCGAGCCACATGCGACTCTTTGGCCCCTTCAGTGTGGCTCTTCCACAAAATACCACGTGCGGGCGTGCACGCACAGTGCGATTGAAACTTCGTGGCCCATGCGCAGAGTCGGTATTTTGTGGAAGAGCCACACTGAAGGGGCCAAAGACCCGCATGCGGCTCGCGAGCCGCGGTTTGCCGAGCCGCAGTTTGCCGAACACTGCTTTAGTCCAAAGGACTCTGCTGTCAGATCTAATTGTTTCATTAATTAAAACTTTGGATTTAAACCTTTGCTATTGTTTTTCCAAATAGTATTCTTGGACTTTTGAGAGAGCACTGTTTTGGTACACTAAAGATATCAGAGATAGCTAGAATACTATGTTGCATTTCAATATTTTCATCAAATTGAGAATTTTTGCTTTTTATTTCATAACATTTACAAGGGTTAAAACTTTGTTTTTAAAAACAGAAGTTTAAAACATTACTCTTTTATAAATAGTCTTTATTATTTTCTTATTTGACATCAGACTATGGACATCATGCCATTTCTAAGCCACTTAGCTCAAATTCAGAGCTTCCTGCATCACCTTCTCTGGGGGAAGCAATCCTCCCACAACAGCTTTACCTGACAGACTAACCAAATGTGCACTTCACATTCAGGGGACAGTTCCCCTCCGCTGCTCTGAAAGGGCATGCTCTTGACAGTGGCTTCTTACACACTGGCACCTCTAGTGTGTCCAGCAACACCCATCCATCATGTGTTCAGCATCCGGCTCTGCCATCTTGTAGTCCTCCTTTGGATGGGACATTTTTTCATGAAAAAGGGTATTGTCTGGGTGGCTAAGGGAAGGGAGTTCTATGATCAAATAATGGTTTATTTGGACCATGACAAACATCCTCACATTCCTTCCCCAGAGTACACAAGATGGAATTCAACTTGAATTGAGATTCCTGAATATCTTCCCTGAGCACTGCCCCACAGCAGGGGGAGGTACATTTATTCCAGTCCATCTAAGGCCCAAGTCAGTCAAAAGCTGGAAAATTTCTAAGAAAGAAACTAATGACTGTTAGATTTCCATAGTGAGGCTATACAAAGGATTTAACAAGTAATGCATATAAAGATCTCACAACGAAGGACAGCGAACATGAAGTGACAAGCAAAAATTACTCAGGATGAAGATTTTCAACCAAGGGAATGAAATTTTAGTCTGGATATCTCAGAGCCCATCCCTTCTTTTTTTATTGTTAATCCTTACCCACGGATCACTTTTCCATTGATTTTTAGAGTGGAAAGGAGTAAGGGAGGGGGGAAAGAGAAAGAGAGAGAAGAGGAGAGAGAGAGAGAGAGAGAGAGAGAGAGAGAGAGAGAGAGAGAGAGAGAGAGAGAGACATGGATGTAAGAGAGACATGGATGTAAGAGAGACACATTGATTGGTTGCCTCTCTCATATGCCCCTATCTGGCTGGGGATTGAACCTGCAACCCAGGTACATGCCATTGACTGGGAATCTAACATGCAAAGCTCTAACCTCTGAGAAATATTGGCCAGGGCAATCCCTTCTTAATGTTCAGGTCAATTTCTTTTTCAAAGATAGGGTCAATGCCATGACATCCCCAAGATATGATTTGATAGTCCCCACTATCACCATCCCCCACCCCCTAGAAGGCTCTCTTCCCTGCCCAGGCTCCTGGATTAGGGCCTTGCAAAGATCTTTAGTACAATAAAACCTCCTCCTGTTATTGCACTGACTGAAACCCTTTCCACAGTTCTGCATTGCCTACTGGATAAAGACCAAGCTCCTTTGCCCGACAGCCCCCCCCTGTCAGCCACCATCTGTCGTGCTCACCTCTCTGACCCTGAGACACATTACATGACCTAGACCTCAACTTCTCCTGATGGGCTACACTGACTCCCTCGACCTTTAGGAATGTCACTTTGTTTCCTCTCCCATTTCTACCTTATTCATTCTTCACTATTCAACTTAGACATCCTTTCTTGATTTCCAGTGCTGGGTTATGCACCTTCCCACTCCATCATAGCCTTTTACCACAGCAGCGTTATGTCTATCTTCTTGTTTGTCTACATCACAAACAAGGCTGCAAGTCCCATGGGTGAGTGCACATCATAGCGAGCAGTTGAGCAACCTTAGCATATCATTAGCATATTACACTTTGATTGGTTGAATGGATGACCGGACGACTGGACGCTTAGCATATTAGGCTTTTATTATATAGGATCATTGTCAAGTTCATGATGGGGTGAATATTGTTTCCTGGGGCTTCTTTTTTCTCCACTTTAACGTGCCTTTCTTTTTAGAGGTGACATTAAGTGCCTGGGTGGAAGGGCCGAATGTGATTTCTGGCACTGGGAAAGCAGTCTTGTCCCCCATGGGCATGGCTGTCTGTCGCTGCAATATTTTCTGGGCATAACTTAGTGGCCTGGGCATCAGGTATCTGGTGCTGGGACCCATCAAGTGATGGCTCTTCTGCCCCCTGAAGATGACCAAAGTTCTTATCATTGTCTTCTGTAACAGCCTCTTTTAGACCTCAGACCCCTTCTAAGTCACTTTACCTCCAGAGTTCCAAAGTCTCCCTTTTTCCACACCTGAGGGAAGCAATGGGCCCTCTGAGCTTCCTCAGGCTGGCTGTGGCTGTAACGACCCCTCCTTCTCCTACTGCAGTATAGGCAGTGCCACAGCAAACATGGAGTAATAAGCCCTTAGAATAATCAACCCTCCACAAATTCTACTTATTTTCTATCTACACTAATAAAAGAGAAAAATGGTAATTGGCGTACGGCACTACCCTTTTCATTGGCTAATCAGGGCTATATGCAAATTAACTGCCAACAAAGATGGCGGCTAATTTGCATATGTAAGCACAATGCAGGGAGGCAAAAGGGAAAGCAGGAAGAAGCCCCCTGCCACTGACAGTGATCAGAAACCCAGGCGGGAGCTAAGAGGTGGGGGGCAGGGCAAAGGTGGCCCTGGGGCCGCCTTTGCCCTGCTCCCCAGCCATGATCGGAGAATCAGGCACCTTTGCTGCCCTGGCCAGTGATAGCAGGAAGTAGGGGTGGAGCCAGCGATGGGAGCTGGGCACGGTCAAAGCTGGCAGTCCTGGGAGCTAGGGGTCCCTTGCCTGGACCTAAAGCGGAGCCCACGACCTCGGGGCCACTGCAGCTGTGGGTCCCCACTGCCCGAGCCGGACGCCTCAGCCAGAGGCATCCTGCAGGGGCAGGGGCGGAGCCCGCGCGATCGCGGCGCCCCCTGCTGCCACTGCGGGTCCCCGCTGCCCAGGCCGGACGCCTCGGCCAGAGGTGTTAGTGTTATGCCCAGATTTCAAGATCCCCCAAGACAGACCACTAGGGAGCCGAGTCCGATGCAAAAGCATAGAGTCATTTATTCAAGCCTGGGACTTGGTCCCCCCCATGCCTCCATTACTGGATGCAAGAGAGAGCCCTGAGTCCCAAGGGAACAAAGAATTTATAGGGCTTGGGGGGCACACACTGACCACTGATTTGGCCGATTCTGGTTGGTTGAGTGAGGGCCGGGGGCTAGTGACGCAAGGGCAGGGTGCAGCTAGGGTCTGGTTACAAAAAGACAGGGGGGTGGCTAGCATACTCTTGGCCTTGGGCTAGTTTCCTCCACTTTCCCATTGGCTGAGATAAGGGCAGGCTGAGTAACTGATACATTCTGTGGCTTTCCTGGGAGAGGAGTTAGAGATACAGC